ATTTGTAGCAATAACTTCATAGCAGTTAATGCTAGAATCACACTATTAAAAAATTTACTTTTTTTCCTATCACTAAGAACTTGAAACTTTTCAAGTTCTTGAGAATCAATGTACAAAAAAACTTCCAATCCCTTTTTCTATGTATTTCAAAACCTGATGAGCACATACTATCTTTTTATATTATATTTGGCAAACTAATTAAGTTAATCATGATATTATTTTTCCAAACATTTATAAACTACTTAGCATTTTAAGAGGCCTATAAATTCTTGAAATTTTGTGAAGCTTAGAAATAGGAAAAGAAAAACATAACGTACTGTTAGGCTATAGCAGAGCTTGTTGTGTACTTGCTTGTACTATAGTATAACTAGCAATAGTTAGCTAGCTTTGGCACCAAAAGTTGTTAGTCTATTAACAGATTTTGTTAGATTAACATACTAGCTTTGTGTACTATAAAGATGGTGTACTAGTGAGTGTGTAAAATATGAATTCAATACATTCTTCGTGATATACAATTTTCAACATGGTATCTTTCACCGTTGGTCTTGGGTCCCTTGACTAACAACTGTTGTTGTTCTTGCTTGGTGTTTCATGGAGTCATCCACTAGTACAGGCTTCTCTCACAAGAAAATCAATGTTGTTCTTGACGAGATGAACTTCCTCCTATGGAAGCAGTAAATCCTGCTCACGGTAAGGAGTCACCGTCTCAAACACTTGGTGACTGGAGTGTTGAAGCCACCGTCAGAGACGATTCTTGATGATACTGGTGTAGTTTATGCCAATGATACATTTGAGACTATGTGGCATAGGATAGTGCGCTCGCTTCATGGCTTCCGTTGACCATTAGTCCTCACATGCTTCCTCACTTTGTGGGTGCTGAATTGACAGTTACAGTATAGAATGTCATACAATAGCTATTTGCGAGCATGTCAACGACTGCTGCCATGAGTTTGCATTGCAAGTTACAGTCACTTAAGAAAGGCAGTGATAGTATGCAGGTGTACCTCACTCGAGTAAATGAAGTATGCGATGTGCTTGCATCGTGTGGTAGTGATGTTTCACATGTTGGCCATGTTGCCAGCATCTTGAAAGGTCTGCCCAGGGAGTGTCAACCATTTATGGCATTTATCACCACGATGAAAGAAGCATTATCCCTAGCTAGTCTTTATACTGTTCTTTTAGATGATGAGGCATAGTTGGCCGACTTTAATGAGCAGTTCGACTACATCCCTATGGGTGCCAATGTTGCTGAAAGAGAGGAGGTTCATGACTCATTTGCTAATGGTGACGTGACTCTAAACCTACACGCTCATCGTTTGCTAACAGAACTGGTGGTCGAGGTCAAGGGCAAGCCAAGATTCAAAGTCAACTTTGTTACAAAATTGGCCACCTAGTTGATCGCTGCTGGTACCGGTTTGATGAAGAGTTTATGTGTGTTACATCTGACTCTCAAGCTCACAATGCTCATAAAAGATAGTCTGCCAATGCTCACTATTTAGTTACTGAGACTTTAAGCCTGGGCTATGAATGTTGCAAAGGTCATTCTCAAGCAACAGGTCATGTGCAAGCCAATACAGTTTCCAGATCCAATGATCATTGGATGGTGGATTCAGGAGCTACGCACCATATCACACCAGATGCTGCAAATGTCTCAAACTCTACTGAGTTTATAGGCCCATATAAATTACTATTGGCAATATGGTCTCTATTGATATTCATAACATTGGCACTGCAATTGTTTCACTTCTTCATCTTCCTCAAGAACCTTTATCTTGAATTAACTATTGCACGTGCCTAACATAACCAAAAATTTACTTTCGGTCTCTAAGCTTGCTAGGTATAATAAGGTTTACCTTGAATTCCATGCTGAAAAGTGCTTTGTTCGTGATGAACTCTCTAAGGCAATCCTACTACAAGGTGAAGAGAAAAGAGGCTTATACACTTTTTCGCACAGTGGTCTTGGTGCAGAAGGTTGGAATGCTGAAGCTCACCTTGCAACTATATCTCAGTCAGAACTATGGCATCGACGGTTGGGACATCCAACTAGTTTTGCTTTTAATATAATTGCTAGAGAACTTGATGTAAAACTTGATGTTGATATTAATAAAACTTGTGTGGCTTACTTTATGGGAAAAAGTCACAAGCTACCGTTTTCTTCATCCAATACCCAATATACTACACCTTTCGAACTAGTATTTTCAGATCTGTGGGGACCTCCTTATGTTGTTTCAAATGGATTTCGTTATTATGTCACTTTTGTGGATGATTTCACCCAGTTTACTTGGCTTTATCTAGTCAAAGATAAAGCTCAAGCTGTTGAAGCATTCTATGTCTTTCATAAACTGGTAGTAAATTAGTTTGGTGGTTTAATCAAAGCTCTTCAGTCAGATTGGGGTGGTGAATATTGAGTGTTTTCTATCTTACTTCCCAAATCTGGATAATGCATCCGTTGACTTGCCCTCACACGTCTGAGCAGAACAGAGTGGTCGAACGCAAGCACTGCCATGTTGTTGAATTAGGTCTTGTCCTGCTGGCCCAAGCATCCTTGCCCATGCAATACTGGTCATATGCAATAGTGATTGTTATTCACTTGATAAATCGTCTCCCCATAATTGTACTTGGAGGGATAACTCCTTATGAGAAGCTGTTTCAGAGAAAACCTGAGTACGCTTTAGTAAAGGTCTTTGGGTGCCAGTGTTTCCCACACCTCAGACCTTTTCAGAATAACAAACTATGTTTTTGATCTATCCCTGTACATTCCTCAGCGTTAGCCCGTAACACAAGGGCTACAATGTCTGGCAAGTAACGATAGAGTCTATATCTCTAGACATGTTGTGTTTAATGAAATGTTTTTTCTATTTACAGATAAGGTTGCAGCTAGCTTGCCACATGGTGCACAAGGGTTTTGATCACGAGACATTCCTATCGTTGCAAAGGCAAGAAGTTGGTTAGTGATGTTTTCCAACTATTCATCAGATGATGTATACACTGAGGAGAGTGATGAAGTTGTAGAACAATCTTGCCAAAATATGTCTAATTCATAAGGCGATACTGCTAGGATCACACCCCTTGAAGTGCCAATTACTACTGTTGACTTGGGGTCAGAATCTAGATTGTCAGATACAAGTAATGTTGATATGGTCAATAGTACAACTCGAGAGCATGAAGAACTGATGTTACCTGCTGAATCACCAACAACATCAGCTGCTCTACCAGTTCAAGAGGCATTACAATCGATCGAGTGGAAGGAGGCAGTTCAAGCTGAGGTCAATGTGTTTTAAAGGAACGACACATGAAAGTTGGTCAAACTACCAGAAGGTCGTGTTCCTATTGGGTGTAAGTGATTGTTTAAACTGAAGCGTAACCAGATGGCTCCATACATCGCTATAAGGCGCAACTGGTTGCTAAAGGCTACTCACAAATACCAGAGAATGATTTCCTTGATACATTTAGCCCGGTTGTTAAATTCTCCTCTCTTAATGATGTCTTGATGCTGACAATATAAAATAATTGGGAGTTGAGGCATATTGACATTAATAATGCATTTCTCAATTGAGTTCTCACTGAAGACGTGTTCATGCAACAACTACAAGGGTTTGAATAAGTTGCTGAAGATGGATTGTCCTTGTTTGCAAGCTTCAGAAGGCACTATATGGACTGCACCAGGAACCTAGGAACTGGCATGCTAAACTATGAGAACCTTGTGCAGATAGGGTTTACAGCATCTCGAGCAGACGAGTCGTTATTTGTTTGTAAACAAGGTGTTGGTGACATATATGTATTAGTCTATGTTGATGACATTGTCATCAGTAGACACTCATCTTGTGAGATACAAGAAGTAGTTCGGTTACTCAGTGCTACATTTTCACTTAAGGATCTTGGCACACTTCAATTTTTTCTAGGAATTGAAGTTCACCGTTCTCGTGGGTATCTCTTCTTGAATCAAAAAAATTTGTGCTAGAGTTGCTTGAGAAAACTAGCATGATAGGTGCAGCTACATGTTCCACGCCAATGATTCTGGCATCAAAACTATCAAAAAATGCTGGGGAGTTGTTGCAAATACGAGTGAATATCGCAGCATAGTAGGTTCATTGCTCTACCTGTGCCATACTCATCCTGATTTAGCCTACAGTGTTGGAAAGGTGGCACAATTCATGCATGGACCACAAGAAACACATTGGCTTGTAGTCATGCATATTCTTCGATACTTAGTTGGTACTGTAAATTATGGTTTAATGTTTCAAGCGAATGAGGCAGAATTGACAGTATCAACCTTTACAGACGCTGATTGGGGAGCAAACATAGATGATAGACGGTCAATCTCTGGTTACGGTGTATTCGTTGGCAAATGTCTTGTTGCATGGAGTTCAAAGAAACAGAAAATCGTGTCTCGGTCCACAATGGAGGCTGAGTACAAGAGCCTTGCTGATGCAACTGCTGAAGTTACCTGGACGAGTTCTTTACTTGCAGACTTAGGGTTTCAACAATGGAGGGAGCCGGTGGTTTGGTGTTACAACACAAGAGCAGTAGCTATGAGTGATAATCCCGTGTACTATGCACAGTCTAAACATATAGATCTCGAAATTCACTTTGTTTGAGAGAAGGTTGCAGCTGGCCAATTGAAAGTTAACTACATACCGGCTACACATCAAATTGCAGATGGTTTTACAAAGCCTCCATCAAAATCTGCATTTGAGGAATTTCGTCGCAGTGTATGTGTGGTGCCAGGGTTGTAGAGTGGCTTTTGAAAGGAAAAATACAAGGAAAGGATGAGAAGAGTAGGGAGAATTTTAGGCTATAGCAGAGCTTGCTGTGTACTTGCTTGTACTCTAGTATAACTAGCAATAGTTAGCTAGCTTTGGCGCCAAAAGTTGTTAGTCTGTTAACAGATTTTGTTAGATTAACAGACTAGCTTTGTGTGCTATAAAGATGGTGTACTAGTGAGTGTGTAAAACATGAATTCAATACATTCTTCATGATATACAGTTTTCAACACGTACCCAGTGCAGATCTGTGAAAGTAGACTGATCCACATAAGACCTTAACATATTGGCTTCTTCCTCTGTTATAATAAGATTTTTATATTAATCAGATAGCTAAGTCAAAAATCAATTTAGAAGAAGAGAAAACAAGTTGAAAACAAACCCGAGAGAGGAAGGTTAATTATCCGCTTCCATGCATGAGCAGCTTTTCTCAAAGTATCTTTAAACAAGCCTTTCCTAGTTAGCATAGTTCTGTTATCCTTTCGAAAGACCTTAAGAAAATTGCAGCAGGATTACTTAATTATTAAATGATAAGATTAAAACTCAAAAATGAAAACTGACTTTAATCATTTAGTTTAGGTCACTGAAGAATGAAAAAAATACATACACTAAATTTTGCTTTTACAGTTTCGTCATGAGAAACAAACAGTGAAATATGTGACTCCAAAGAAAGACTAAAAACACGCAGTATGAGTGGAAAACCATAAAAGAATATTTAAAAAGTATTTTTAAAACCAATTGACAAGAAAGTTTAGCTCCATTATTTTTCTATATGTTATCGGGAATCAAACAAAACAAAAAATAGCTGAGCAACTGACCAGTGGAACGATAATATATTTCTGATACTAGAATTTCTATCAAAATTCTGTTAAGAATTTAAGTTTTATCCTGCAATTTACTCGAAACCAAACAAAGAGGAAACTGAAAGATATGAATCTAAAGAAAGAAAAACTAACAAATCTATCAGCAATAAGAGTGAAGAAAAGCATTAAAATCCGTGACGAAACTTAATAAATAAATATATTTCACAGTTTCAAGTTATAAATAACCAAAATTATTACATAAAACATAAACGTCGCATTAATATAAACCAAACAGGAAAAAAATGAATTAGAAAGATTTTTTATCTTTTAGTCTCTATAAATTTTTAATCTCTGTAGAAAGGTTGCTCTATTCAAAAGAACCCAACAAAGAAAACAGAGGATCTCCCATTTTTTCCCTAAAAAAAATAAATAAAACCTTCTTTTTCAAAAAGCAAACAGAAGTAAAATTTCCAGTCACCCTAAAAGAAATATGAAATCAGAAAGCATTACCAAGAATGTTTTTTCATTTTCACTAGACAAATCCCAACAACAACAAAAAATACATACAAATGTTTCAAAAAGAATCAAAAAATAAAGAAAAAGAAAAAAAAAGGAGAAGAATGAGAGGCCTCTTAACTTTCTGTTTTGCTGCTTCCAAGGGAAGTAGATCGTTGTCGAAAAACCAACTGTCAAAAGGTAAAACCCGAACCTTTGGGGGTAGATCTACGGCGTTTGGCTCATATTCACATGGTTTGGAGGTTATATTCAGGTTTAGCGTGATGATGTGATTGTTTTGAGGAAGGTTTTAGGTTTTGGGCAACTATAGACGGTTGTCGGAGCATTGGTATTCGGTGGCCGGAGTGATGGAAGGAGAGAGTGTTTTGAGATCTAGGGGAGGATGAGTTTTGAGAGAAAGGGTTGAAATGAAGAAGGAAAAGGGTTTGGGTGAATTTATATATCAGAGACCTCCATGTAATTATAAAATATTTTAATTATTTATAGAGTTTCTCATATTTTGATGTGTAATTCATTTTGATCCTCATTTTAAATTGATCTCTAAATTTTAACTTTATTTCAATTTAGTCCTATTTATTATTTCTTTGCTTATTTTAAATTGGTTTCCTAACTTTTATTTCTTGTTTTTGTAGCACTCTAATTAAATTACATACTTGATTTTTATTTCTTTTATTTTAGTCAACATGTAATTGTAAATCGAATACTTCTACTTTTCTGTTTAATGCAATTCGGTCTTCAATTTGTTCCATGTGCTTTTAATGTGTTTATTTTCTGGATACGTGTGTTAATTTGGAATTCTTTTATTTTAGTCATGTGTATAATTAAAAATAAAAGCCCTTAGACTTTAAGGACTTTGGATTTAGTCACTTATTACAACTTAATTAGAACTTTCAAGATTTTTGTTCTTTTTAATTAGAGAAAAATAAAAGATAGTACCAAAGGAAGCAACACAACATGAAAAACAAATCATAAAGAATTTAGGAACCAACCTCAACCAAAAACCTACTTCCCTTCGAGTTGCAACTATTTTGACACATATAGCCAATCCTTCTCTTTGTTTAGAAAACTTTCTTCATGAATTGTCTTAGGAAAGGTGGACTAATATACGAATAATATACGACATTACCAGAAACATAATAAGATACTTACTAAAGTCGATTTAGCGCTACCGAAAATGTTGAGTAATAATAATATTATAGGTGGAAATCATGAAGAAATATTAAAATATTTGGCAACCGGAAAACTTAGCTTGTCAGTAGGTATCGATACCTTGAAAAGAAGTATCGATAAATAACAATATAACAGGTTGAAGTTTGACAAAACCGGTTCCAATTTGACAAAACCGGTAGAGATACCTGATTTGTTAAAATTATCCCTTATACATATAAAACATAATATGAGTTAGGTCAAGTTTTTTCACCCTAAACCGAACCCAATCCAACTCAACCATAATTTTAAAAATAAACCGACACAAACATATTAAAAAAACCAATCTGACTGGTTGATTTGGGTCGACACCCTTTGGGTTTGGGTAAAAATTCTTAACCAAAATCCATCTTTTTTATAAGTTACTTAGGGTCAGTTTGGCAGGACTTTTGAAAATTGACTTTTAAAGGTAGAAAAGAACTTTTAAAAGTATTTTTTAAAAGTGCAGTTTATAATTTAGCTATTTGATATTGTTGTTAAGAAGTGAGTTTGAAAAGAAAAAAAATTCCATTATAGACATTATGTTGTAAATTTAAAATATAGAATTTAAATTATATTTACACTTATTAATACTATGATATATAAAATATATCAACTTAAAGTATAATAAAAACTATAAAAAATATTTGAAGATAACTCATTAATAATATTTTTATAAATAAAATATTTTATTAAGAAATAATATATTAACAATACTTTTTAACATGTGTATATAAAATTATTACAAAATAATAATTTAAATACTTGTTTTGACAAAAAGAATATGGAAAAAATACATTCGTGCTCGCAAATTAAAGTAAAATTTAATATACAAACTATGAATTTTATTTACTTTTAAGTAATTAAAATAAATTATTAAGTAATAAATTAATTTTTAAGGATGTTATTATTAAATTATTAAATAAAATGTAAATACATAATTGAATGGAACTCATAAATTAGCAATTAAAAAATTATAATTTGCTTCTAAACAAAAAAGTTGAAAATGAAAAAGCTAAAAAACCTAACTTTTGTGGTTGGTTTGAAACCACCGTTTCCATCGTAAATTTTCTTTTATTTTTTTACCCGTTTGACATTGATTTTATGGTCAAAACAATTTTTTTAGTTAAAAGTGCGTTTAGAAAGCCACGCCAAACAAAGCCTTATGCAAATTGTTCATAAAAAGTTAAAAGCTTCTATTGTCTCAGCCTCAACAATCACAAAGACAATTTAAAAGGTATTACAATCACTATCTTGTGCAACTACTAGTGATAATATTTGTTTGTATTTCTTGTGACTTATATAACATATGTTCTATTTTAGACAAGAATTTTTATGGAATAAGAATTCTTGGTGACCAAGTATTTGACTCTATTAATATAGATTATGTCTTCGCTTTTAGGGTATTTTGAGAGAGACTTATTTCATAGAGATGTAATCATTTTTGGAATCTTTTTAACTTTTAGGGCTTATGTTGTAGAGATAGTTTTGAGATATACCAGATTTTGGTATCTATATCAGGTTTTGGGATACATGTGATCTCATGTATTTGTACCTTCATGTTCTTTACGTTTATAGTGGATTATTATTCATCTCACCCGTGGAGATAGGCAAGGTCGAACCACGTTAAATCTTTTCTATTGTGCATATCTTATTTATGTTAATATCACTTTGATTATTTTTCCGCTCTCAAATTCCTGAAAAAAATGTTTAGATAATGAAAACCCTTTGATGAATGAATTGAATTCCTAAAACACTATTAAATTACTATTTTGATATAACAAATAAATTGCAAAAAAGATTTTGGACTTAATTAAATTTACTAAAAAATTCTAAAAAATAATTTGAAGTCCAAATTTACTTGAAAAACATGTTTTAAATATTTTCCAACTTAGTGGAACCTTTTTTTAAAAAAATACCTTGTCATTTTTGTGCTTTAAAGTTGAGTTTCTATGATATTTTAGCTTAAAAGATAAATTCCCTAAGCAAAAAATTCGATCCCTTTAACCGAAGGATCGATCCCTTGAATTCCAGTAGCAAGGGTTCAATCCCTTGATCGATCCACCGATGATAGAAGACACACTTGGAAGACTATGTTGCCAAGTAAGCTTTAGTGATGTCCCAGTCTTGAATGCAAGTAAGTTGTGGCCTTGTACACTTGTTTTGATAAGAAAGGAAGAAAAAGGATAAGCGTGTAGGGTGATAATATTTATATGAGGGAAATATGTAAAGGATAATAAGCATTGGATATATGTTTGGGTGTGTAACCCTTGTTTAGGAAGGTGGTGTAGGAATAGTGATATAAGGATGGCTAAGGTTGGATATAGGTGATGGTGATGCTAAGAAAGACATAGGATCAAAGTATAACCAATAATATAAAGAGTATTGACCCAGAACTTTATAAAATATTCAATCTCTAGGACTTTGACCCACTAGTTATGAAAACTAGGAGCCAAAAATACCAAGAGTAAGGGTTGACACCACAAGCAATGATTAATAATTCAAAGAGTTCAAACAAAAACAAAGAGAAGTGAATTCTCACTAAATTGCACTCGAGCTGATAAGTTGATTAATTGTAATTGATTGTTTTCCAAATGAAAAATAAATGCCTATTTATGGCTTACAAAACGGCTTAAAAATGCACCCTTAAGGGGTGAATAGGTGGCCAATCATTGTCGAGACGTTTCTCTACCCGTCGACGGAGAGTGCAAATACTACACCCTATAAGTGTAACTAGTCTCAAAAAAGTAAGTGTTTATCTTCCTTGAATCAGATGAAACACCAAGTTGTAGAGTCGCCACCAATCTTTTAATTTGGTGAGATTGGTCACCAAAATGCTATATTATTCGAATAAAATTCTTAGGAATAATATTAAAATAATACAACTCGGGTATGCATACCAGAAAAATGAGTTTGGGAGTCGGTTACGTATGGGGAAGGATTAGCATCCCCATAACGCCCAAAATTGGTACTGATATTTATTAATTAATGTCTTTGCAGTAAATGATAAACTTGTTTTTTTAAATAAATTTAATAACTTATTATAAAGAATTACTAAATATTTAATAATATTAATCTTATTATAAAATATTAACTATATATATTAAATTATAAATTATGTAAAATAGTAATCCTAAAATATAAATACTAATAATAATTAATTAATGATTAAAAAATAAGATAATAAAATTAATTAACCTAATTCGAAATAATACTAAAATAATATACTAATTATATAATTTATCCTAATTTACTAATATGGGACTAAAGTAGAATTTTTTAATATTTAGGGACTAAACATGTCATTTATTCTATATATATATATATATATATATATATATATATATTTAATGACTAAAATAAAAATAAATAATACTTGAAAACTAAATCAGAATATACGAAAACATGCTTTTAGGTACTAAACTAAATGATTATAAAATTAAAAGAACCTTGGATGGGATTTCCCATTTCTGAAATTGCGTCGACACTCTCTCCCCAAAACAACACCATTCAGGGAGGGGTATATATAGACCCTAAACCAGTCTAAAGAGGCTTCAAGACTCATTTCCCCCCTTTGCTTCTCTCTCTTAGAGAGAGAAGCTCTCGCCTCTCACTAGAATTCCCTCACCGGAGGGAATTCGTCCCCGTCCGACAACCATGCACCATCGCAGATAGCCACCGCTGACCACCACCCATGGTGGTCGGATATCAACCAATTACACCAAATCAATCCCCCTTTTTCCCTAAACATGAATTTAACAACCTTTATTCCTAAAAAGCCTTAAATCGCAATATATCTAAGAAAATATACCTTCGAAGTTCAACTTCTCAGGTGACGCTTGGGTTCTCCGACGATGATAACGCTTCTTCTTCTTTCTTCTCTCAATATTTTGGTAGTTTGGTTGCTGTGTATTGGGGTGGTTGCTCGTTCTTTCTCTTTGTCTTTCTTGTTTGTATGTTTACCCTATTTATAGGGTTCTTCGAGTCCCTTTTTGTACCAGTTAAAAGGATAAACCCCGGTGAGTTAACGGAGTTATGGTGGTGACTCACCCTAGGGGAAGGGAACTGTGAGATGAAGAGGCTGGGTGCATTTAATGCACTCAGATTTCATGTATCCGGTGAGGACATGGCATGTACTGGTTGGAGCGTTCGGCGGCGGAGGCATCATACCACTATGACGGCGGCCGAAATAGCACTAGGGTG